ACTTTTTCTGGATTGGGCTCAATCCCCTTTTCGCTCATCATGTACCCCAAAAATTTGCCTCCTCTTACAGCAAACGCACATTTCTTGGGATTCAGCCTCATATTCGCCTTTTGCATTATCCCGAACACCCTTTCTATGTCCAGGACATGGTTTTCCTTCTTTTTGCTTTTGATCAGGATGTCATCAACGTAGGCTTCCATTGTGACACCCAGCACATCTTTGAACAGCATCCCGATCATCTTCTGGAAGGTTGCCATTGCGTTCTTTAATCCGAATGGCATGACGATGTAGCAAAACATGCCATCCGAAGTAACGAACGCCGTTTTCTATGCATCGGCCGGGTGCATGAATATCTGATGATAACCCCGGAAAGCATCCATGAAGCTCAGTAACTCACACCCGGCGGTTTCATCCACTAGCAGATCGATCCTCGGCACTGGGTAGGGATCCATGGGGCACGCTTTATTCAGATCAGAGTAATCCACGCACATTCTCCAGGTAGATTGTTTTGGGGCTAGAACCACATTGGATAGCCATTCTACGTGGATTACCGGACGGATGTGCTTTATCCTTAGCAAGGTGGCCACTTCCTTCTTTGTGAATTCCCGCCGTTCGGTTGCTTGATACCGTTTCTTCTGTTGGACCGGTTTTGCATCAGACCGAACGGCAAGTTTGTGACATATTATTTCTGGATCAATGTCGGGCATATCTTCTGGCCCCCGGGCAAACAGCACCTGAAACTTTTTGAGGACGGCGATCACGCCATCCCGGATATCAGCCGCCAGATCTACCCCGATAGCAACCTTACGGTTCGGGGGGAAGTCGAGGTCGATTTGTTCGAGAAGGGTGGCGGGCTCCGGGTGTGCCTCGAACTCCGTTCGGTGGGTTTTCACCTCAATTGTATTCACCCGCATCCCACGAGTGTTCATCTGTTTCAGGGCCTCCCGATAACATGTCCGGGCTGTTGTTGGATCAGTTCTGACCACCCCTACCCCAGTGTGTGTAGGGAATTTGATGCATGAGTGGCGGACAGATGTTATTGCCTCCAGATCTTCCAATCCCGGTCGGCCCAATATGGCATTGTGGGCACACTTTATATCTACCACCACGAACGTCATTCGGAGTGACGCTCTGTGGGTTTCATCCCCAATTTCAACCATTAATTGGATGGTCCCTTCCGCCTCGATGCAGTTACCGGTAAAACTCGCCAGTGGAGTCCGCAGGTGGGTCAGTTGGCTCCTTTGTAGACCCATTTTCTCGAATGATTGTAGATACAACACATTCACACTGCTCCCAGTATCAACCAGTACTCGGCGGATCAAAGCATTGTAAATACACATGCTTACCACCGGTTCATCCCTGTGGGGGCTTGGAGAATTGGGTAAATCAGCTGGCCCGAACGTGATCGGGTCTGTCCTTCCTTTTTTCTGGGGGGGAGCGGAGACGGATCCCACATAAAGACTTCGCTCGAACCTTTTCCGTTCGGCGTTCGAATCTCCGGTCTCCCCGCCCCCAAATATGACCTTGACCTCCATTCGAGGCTTCTTTCCAGGGCCTCCCGAGCCCTCTGGCTCATCCCTGGGAGGAACATACACATCATTTTGAGGTTGGGCGTCACGTTGAGCATCCCGGCGCCAGCTATTAGGTTTCCTGGCCGGTTTTAACGTGCCCATTGCATTCGGATCTTTGTTCACATATTTGCCCAGGTGGCCCCTTCGGATCAGATCCTCAATTGCTGTTTGTAGGGCCCTGCAGGCATTGGTGGCATGACCCTTTTTGTTGTGATATTTACAGAAAGCATTGTCATCCGTTCCCATGAACTGTCCACAATCAGTCGGGATGGGAATATTGTCCCTCTCGTGCTGATAGATGGTCGCTATTGATAGGACCAGGGGTGTAAATCTCCCTTGTTTGGGAGGTAAAGTGGCCGCTGGGCTAGGACCCTGCCGATCGGCCAGTCTGATCGGGGCAGCAGGCGTAATGACCTTATCCCTGATCATTATCTCCTCTTCTAGGGCGGCATGCTTGCGAGCCCTATCTAACACCTCGGCGTACGCCGTACCCGGATTCTTCTTCAATTCTTTGTACAAATCCCCCGTTCGGAGAGCATTCGTGAACAGGGTAATGGCGGTATCATCCGTCATGCTTCCCACTGTTAAAGTTTCATCCCTCCACCTTTTCAGGAATTGGTTGAGGGTCTCCTTGGCGTTTTGCTTCACGCTGGTCAAATAGCTGAAGTGTCGTTTGGGATTGGCACTGGAAGCAAATTGAGCCAAGAATAACGCTGATAACTCGGCAAAGCTATTGATTGACCCGGGCTGTATTGTCCCGAACCATTCCTGGGCAGGCCCCCTGAGCGTGCTGAAAAACAACCGGCAAATGGCGGCCTCGGGTGCTCCTAGCAGCATAAGTCCCCCTTGGTAACTCCTCAGATGTACGTGGGGATCTCCCACCCCATCGTAAATTTGGCCGGTCGGGGGCTTGGCACCCCCTTGGATATCCGCGTACATGAGCTCCCTAGTAAATGGGGAAGTAATTCCCAGCTGAACTGGCGCAGGTTGTACAGGTACCCTGTTCATCTGGTCCCGCATTTCATTCATTTGCCTCCTCATCTCGGCCATCTCTTCCTCCTGGGCCGTCAAAGGGGGCGGTGGTGGAACCCTCATATCCGTACAGTCCCGATCCCAATGCTGCTGAGGGGCCCTAGTATTTTCCCGCTCGGCATACTTGAAATGATGACCGACGGGAGTTGGTCCTCTAGCTTGCGACCCGACCGGGGTTCGGTCACTGGGACTGGGATGCGCTGCTGGTGGGGCGCTACGTCGATTATCCCGATGGGTATGCGAACGGGATGACGTTGTGGTTGTTTCCGCGCGTGGAGATTCTCCTGTAAAGCTGGAACCTCCTTCCTCTTCGTTCGCCATATGTTGCATGAATTGGGCCATGTCACGCATGGCCTGGGGATTTCTTCTCAGAGATTCGGGAATCACAAAATCCCCATTAAAACGAGGATACGAACCTCGACTGGATTGTCCCTGGGGGTTTTGACTCCCCGGGGTGTGACTCCTCCCGTGACGGTGTGAACCGTCGTTTGTATGATAGGAACTGATTCTGACCATTTTTGAAAAATAGAGGTTTTTTGGATGTTTAGAAAGTGAAACTTTTTGCAAGTTTCCCACAGACGGCGCCAATGTTGAGGGTAAATCCCGTAGATCCGAAAGTCTAACACGAACTTTGGATATATCAGGAATGGCCCAGAATCAAAGCGTATGAGAAAATATAAGATCTGAACTAACTAAAACTCGAAAGCTCACTTGTATTAATTAACCAATCTGATTACAAAGAATTTCCCGATCGGTAAGTCGGAAACTATGCTTTAATACAAGAAGTAAGGGCAAATGATGCTATTCTAGAGCTTGAGTATTGAAATGTTAACCCTTACAATGACTTGAAACCTTCTATTTATACTAATGGAGAGCATGGGCTGCCTCTTGCTGATTGGCCGTTGTTCCACCGACTTGGTCATCCATGCTTCCACTTGCTGATGTCATAGTCTGGCATTAATTGCACCTGGCCACTTGCTGGTTGGCCGTTGCTCGAACGGGATGTTGGGCTGTACTGAGGATGCTGTCAAATTGGCCTAAGTATGATATATAGCCCGAACCTCGTTCGGTATGTCTTCTTACTGGGCCAACCTTTATTTGGGCCGAGCTCCGTTCGGTATGTCTTCTTACTGGGCCAACCTTTATTTGGGCCGAGCTCCGTTCGGTATGTCTTCTTACTGGATCTTATTCATCATAGAGTGATGGGCCCGTTGCTTGGGCCGGATATCTTGGACCTTCCCGATCTGGGTATTGGGCCTCTAGGTCAATATCCTAACACTTGGTAATACTTTCTTTTACCCCGGTGGGTCGGGGGGAGATGGGATAGTCTGGGGTAAATAGGGCTCTAAGTAGGGCTGAAACTCCTTTGATGAGTTTCGAACTCAAGACCTTCCGTAAATCAGAGTGTCAAGAGAACTTTATTCATTAACATCCTCGATAAAATTAATAACTTTATTAATCATCATAGTTTCAGAAAAATTTAATGCGCGAGCATTGCAAATTAAAAGCAAACTAAAAATACACTACTTTTACAAATCCATTTTCCCAACATCTTTTTACTAGTATTTTTTTTACAAAACCCAATTTTGATTGTATTTAAAAGTTCATTTCACTTTTATTTTTAGTAAGTTTACCCTTTATAAAATAGTCAACTATCCTTACTTTATCTACTTTTTGTTTTTCTTTCATGTTTTTACATATTCTCTGTTACTTTTTCTACAGTGTTCTTTACCCCTACTTCGTATTATTTTACTTTTTAAATAATGTGTCAAGCTAATGTATTGAACATTGAAATAAAGAGGGAGTACTTTACAAATCCTTTCATCAAGCCATCAACCATATGGAAGAAAGTAGGGGAATTTTAAGTTTGCACCTCACTTTTTAGGTTATATTGGACTTTGCACCTCATTTTCAAAACTTTTAGACTTTGCATCCAATCTACAACATTTTGTGGAAAAAAATTCATGAATAGGGTGCAAAGACAAATACATTTTAGGGGAAATACGATGCAAAGTCTAAGAGTTTTAAAAATGAGGTGCAAAGTCCAATATCACCCAAAAAGCGGGGTGCAAAGTCAAAATATCCCAAGAAAGTAACAAGAGAGTTCCCCCCTGTCACCGGTGGGCGTAGCTCAACTAGTAGCAAGGGAGTGACACAAAGGTTAGGTTCCGGGTTCGAATCCCGTCAATTGCGATGAGGGGTTACTATGCTAAAAATGCATAAGATCTCTGCAATTATCCGGGACAGATCCCCACTCTCTATCTGTCGGATTGGGATTATAGTCCAATTTATATACTCCCAACGTACCGTCCGATCGGGATTCAGGAGCCCTTAGAGATAGGGTGTTATTTTTTTTTAAGAGTTTCCCTGTCAGGTCTTTTATATTCTAAAGAGGCTTAAAACCTAGTTAAACATACGGAGTGAGTACGAAGGCGGCGGAGATGCGTAGCGGGCCTAGCGGCGCCCCATTCCTTCCAATAGAAATCATCTCCAACATTCTCAAGCGGCTTCCGGTGAAATCCCTAATCCGATTCCAAAGCGTGTGCAATCTCTGGAAGAATCTCATCAAGAGCCCATCTTTCATCGCCAGCCACCTCGACCACTCCAGCCGTGAGAATCTCTATCTGATTTCCAGGGGTAAGCACACCGTCTCCGGTACCTCGATTCTATATTTTCTCGACCGCGACATGCAACTCCGCCGAGTTCAGAACAATCCTTTTATCGATTCGCTCAAGCACGCTAGGATCGTCGGCTCCTGCAACGGCTTGGTCTGCGTTCAAACTGGGCTTCCTGGTACTTTCATGTCTCTTTACTTGTGGAATCCTGCGATTAGGGAGGTTATACAGGTGCCTAAAAGCATACCAAACATGGATTTATCTTATAGCTGTAGTGCAGGCTTTGCATTCAGTCCAACTGTTAAAGATTACAGAATTGTCAAACCCTATGTGACGCGGAGTGATATGGAATATGGATTTGAAGCTTATTCAGTAACCACAAATTCATGGAAGAATATAGGAATGGGTAGCTTTAAGGGCATATCTCCTTTCTCTGATTGTATTACTTTTAATGGGTCTATGTTTTGGTTGGCATCACAGGCATCTCATGGTGGAGAATATACTGATGTCATACTTTCTTTGTATTTAGCAATGGACGAGTTTAGGTTGATTCCACCGCCTCCTTCATCCAGGAACGAAACTGCGAACCTGACAGTGTATAAGAACAGGCTTGCGGTATTTCATTGCTCACATGATTTAAACACAGAAAATATATTGATTGATTTGTGGATGATTGAGGAAGGCATTGGTAGTTCTTGGAGCAAAATATTGACTTGTGGTCCTTATCCACACCTTGGAGTACCGTTGACCATTTGGATGAATCAGATTGTCTGTGATGTGTTTGTTACAGTTCCAACAGAGGGGAACAATATGTATAAGATTGATGGTGCTGGTAGTTTTTTGTTTGATCCTACTTCTAACGAAGTCAAAGTCCTTTATTCGGGTGAAGATGGCATTCTTGATGCTGTTTTTACATATTCTGAAAGCATTGTACCCATTAGAAAAATCCACACAGGAAAGCATTGATTTTAAAGCATAATCAGTGTTTAATTATTATAATGCACTGGAGATTGTATCCGCTCTTTGTAGACAATGACAAGACAATGATAATAATTGTTTGTTTTGTTGTAGAAAATTTTATGTATTGTGCTATCGTGTGTGTATGTAGAATACTAGTATGTATAATGATAAACTATGTATCATGGACCCATTGACCCGTCTTTGATAATGAACTTATATGGACAATTCTCCCTACATCACGTTATCAGAATGACTCTAACCCTATTTTTTCTCACTCTATCCACATCTACCCTGTTTTTTCGTTTGTCCCGCGCATAGCCTACTACAAGCAAAGACTTCAGCTCCGATCATTGTTATACTTGCTGGTTCAGCTTATGTTATACTTGCTGGTTCAGCTTAGGTGTTTATGACTATAGCGTTCTTCGCTCGTCCTTGGATCTACCCATCCTCTCTTCAACATCTGAAGCTTTTTCGTCGCTTACAGATTGCTCACCGTCTGCTGAAGAAGGCCGACGCCCGCATGCCGGATCTGCCGCTAAAGGCTGATGCCCGCCTACCGGATCTGATGCTGAACAAAGCCGCCCGCTGACGCTCGCAGCTCGCCTAGTCCCATCATCGCTCGTTACTCGTCCAGCCCGCCATCGCACGCTGATCCCGATCTGTACAAGGATCCCCTGTTCATGCTTCGCTGCTCACACTCTCATCTTCAATCTTGAGGTTAGTTTCCTATTTCAGCATTGGACCAGTTTTCTTCAACCGTTTAAAATGAATGACCGATCATGCAAGATTAACTCTTCTACTATCGTATTATACTCGTATGTTCTATAATCAAATTCAAGTAACTACCACCTATGTAAATTAGATATGAAATGGTAATTTTCAACTGTGCTAATTTTACGATTTTAGTCGATCACATTTACCAAATTAAAGCGATTCAAGTATTTGTTTATCTATCTATGTCAATTCACGGCTCAAGCATCTTTAGAATATCATAAATGGGCAAATGGCCAATATCAAGAATAGTTAAATCATGTACTTGATACTTTAATTAAATGGTAAAGTATGAATGATTCGGAAATCATTTTTGTTGATGTTATTTTAATTGTTATATTTTCGTATTTCAGCATTTAGTTGTTCAAGTTTCAAATTCTCATTGTTATTCAATGAGCTTTGACTATTTTCACAATAACTGGCGACATTTTCAAATTTGATTGACGGTCCTGAAATGATATGTTAAAATCATTGTTCTAAAACTTGCTAGGGGGAGTAGTGGCTAGTCGAGCGGTTGAGGGTCGCCTAGCGTCTAGTCGGCCGATTAGGCTGATTTTTTTGTCGACTAGGCCTCTGCAGTTAGGGTCGACTAGGCTGATTAATCGGTCCAATTAGGCTTGTTTTCATAAGAGGTTAAAATTATATTTCAAAGTTTGTGATATAGGTCTCTCAAAAGAAAGCACCTACATGGCTACTTATCTATAATATCATTTGACTACTACAAGTCTTGATTGCAAAATCAAGGTAAAATAAGGACCATGGAGGAATTAGCGTACGACGTACGGAGTATTTCTTTATGACTTATCCAACCAACTTCAGAATTGATTTATTGAACTCAAAAGCACTCGAGTAGGAGTGAAGTGGGCTAACCGGGCCTTGGCTCACCTCAGTTTTTCATCATATATTAGAACCACTTTTTATGGTGATGATGAAAAGATCAAGAATTGTCAAAATTGTGAGTCTTAATTTTAAAATACCTTAAATACCCAAAGATTGAGAAAGCAATCCAATAACTCGTTTATGGGAAGAAGCTCGTTTTTTTACTACAAATCTATCAATGGTTTGATATGGAAGATATTACCAGAATATTTTTCTTGAACTGAAATAATAGTTTTTGAGATCAAGCCTCCCAAGAGCTATTTGGACGAAAAAAAATCCAAATAGAATACCAAAAGTACAAAATTTGAAGTAAATTCTTGAAGATAAGAAGGTTAAATGTGATAATCTCATCAGAATACAATTAAAAAAATGCATTTGACTTCAAAACTGTAAAATTTGATGTAAATATCTCCAAAGTTCAAGAGATTTGCCTTATGACAGGCTAAATATAAAATTGTTTGATGATGGTTCAATATTTTGACAATAAGAATCTTCTCTAATTGTTGGAATTGTCCATTTTTTGTAACTCTTTCACGAGTTTTTTTAAATATGAACATTACTACTTCTAATTAGACTTTTATTTTGAGTCTTAAAGTTTGGTATAAATTATGTATATTCATTTGATATTTTAAATTGATTTGACATCTCATTGTTTCATCTCCAATTATATATGTGATGTTTATGCACTTGGATTCATTGAATGCATATCTATGAATTGTATTCATAATAGAAAATAGTAGATACCTAAAATAGAATGGGTACAAAGGAATATATCTCATTTTGCTTGATATCATAGCACTCTAAAGCACATGAGTGACATTTGCAAATTATTGCAACCTATAACAAATAAGTGGTTTAACCCCATTGTGATGATACACAATAAATTAAGAATGGATATTTATTTATTGAATTAATTCCTTATTTTCATTTATGATTGATTAAAGACGATGAATTGAATAGATATTTGAGTTAATGACTCAAATAGGACTAATAGAAAAGTTAATTGCACATTTAGGACCACAAACGAAACACAACTTTCATAAGACCAATTTCAGTACAGTTGGACAAAAATAACCCTCTTTTAATTTTTTAAATTTTAAAACTGTAAAATAAAAAATTATTGAAACCCTAGAAGTAGCACTGCCGCCACCAGAGCCAAACCGCCTGCCGCCACCCCTCGCCGACACAACCTACCGCCACCCCTCGCCGGCACAACCTGTCTCCGCCCTCTCCGACGGCAGCGCCCCCTGTTGCGGCCCTCGCCGTCTACCATCTACCATCGCATCCTTGCCGATGCACCGTCGCCATCCATCGCCGTCCCTTCACGCTTCCCACACCAGCGTCGCCATCTATGTCATCACTATCTGACCGGCATCACCATCCACCCCAGCCATCATCCTCTGAGCACCGCCACAACAGTGACAACTCAGACGGAATAATCTGCCATTAACTTGGCAGATTTAGCATTGAGGATTATATTCACTTCTGCCATGAACAAGTGCTTCAGATCTGCCAAAAAAGTTGACAGATTCAACTTGGCATGAGTCACACAAAACTACCATAAATTTGGCAAAAATAAAAAAACATGAAGTAAATAACTAAATATTCAAGCAATCACAAATTAAATGGAACAAGCATTTTAACACAACCACAAATTAGAAAAACGAAGCTATTGACAAAAAACAGAAAAAAACAATTTATACCAAAGCATTTCTTCCATAATATTATTGTAAATGTACACATTTTTGCCATAAACTTGGCCAAATCTGAAGCGATCATAAAAAAAATATGAAAATCGGTTTTTTAAACTCTGAAATTAAAAATCAGAAAATCGAAATAAAAGTCTGAAAAACTAGAAAAATCAATTCAAAATTCAAAAAAAAAATGGAGGAAAATCGAGAAGAAGAAGAAGAAGAACAAGATGAAGACAAGAAGAAGAGAAAGAGGAAGAAGAAGAAGGATGGAGGAGAACCTTAGTGGCAGCGGCGTACAGAGAAATTGGCTGCAGCGGCGGCGTAAGAGAGAAATTGATCTTGTGTGCAGGGTGAAAATCGGTGGCGGAGGCGATGGCTAGGGTGAAGTCGGTCGATGATGCGCAGTGAAGGAATAGGGGAAGTAGTTGTGCGCATGAGAGAAGATAGATGAGCGTAAAAGGGATAAGGGGGTAATAATGGAATAAAAATATGGATGTTTTCAAATATGACTAAAATAGTCCTATTTAGGAAAAAAAATCATACATGGTCCTATTTGAGAATTTCTCTCCTCTTTTAGTACTAGATGGGACAATTACTTTAGATATTTATTATCATTTATCTAAATGATTTATATTCCCCTGGCCTCTAAATGTATCTAGAAATCCCCAAAGTTTACTACGTTCAAAATTTGTTCATCACAATGGTTTTTACATAGAATGGAACCATGTCATGGGTCCATGTCTCGTGAGCCTCTTATCAAAGTAACAAAAGTTGCCTTATACATCATTGTGGGGCTTTCCTGAACCCTCACATTATGACGACATCAATGTCCACCGAGCTACCCTCAATGGGTTTTCACATAGAAATTCGCTATAAAAAATGAGATAGAAAATATTATATTGTGTCTAATAAATGCAAAAGATAATGCATATTTAAGCATGTTATGAGACAAAATGGTCATTGACTCGTACAAACTTTGAAATAACTCATTCAGGTTATTAATCATTCGAATAAAGGATACAATCGGATCCAACACAATGTAAATTGTTGGTCTTAGCTTTGATAAATAGAAAAACAATATTCACCTTCTAAAGTGAAAGAAAAAATATTCATTTTTCATTATGCTTTCCAAATATAGTAGAAGACACATGAGTTATATCTTAAAGTTACTCCTTAGCAATAATAGAATCAAGACTTGTCTATGCTAAGGATATAACCGCAAAGATATCTCATTTTTTCAATATAATGTGACATGTGAGGACTCATCTACCAAAATGCAGGTGATCATTTAAGTAATTATGGTTTGGTAGATATGTACTCACGCTATCTATTTTTCTTTTACATAAAAACGTTGCATTTACAAAACTTCTAGCAAAACTTATTTATTTAAGGACCCACCACCTGACCAATCAAGTCTATATGACTTGTTACTGCTCGACAGTTCTCATCAAAAGTACTTGATGATTATTGCATATTTGTTGAGATCAATTAAAAACATCTCGCATCCCATGTGAAAAATAAGATTTCAGTAAAACTCACATCTAAAAGTGTTGGTCCCGGTTGTACTGGATACAGTCTAGAGGGGGGGTGAATAGACTGTATCGGTTTTTAACTTTTTCAAGCTAAGTACCAGATTTAACAGAATAGCCTGTTCTATTGGTAGAACAGACTGGCAGCGGATGGGGTTCTGGTAGGGAGTTCTGTTAATAGCCTCAGAGAAGCAAAGGCAGTAGGCCTTCTGTTAACTCACAAGACCAGTTCTGCTGAACACAGATACCAAGTCTTTGGAGTCAAACAGTTCAAACTATGAAAGAAAAGCAGTAAGTAGATGACACCAGGGCTTTTTATAGTGGTTCAAGGAACAACTTGTCCCTCTAATCCAGTGTTC